TATACAGTATATATATAAATATTTATATATAAGATATATATAAATTATAGCTGTTATAATCTAATATTTGCTAATCTTTAATATCTCTATCAAATAATACTGCAATTATCGAATAATCAATTTTAATATTTTTGAAACAATTAATTTAACGTGTTATAATTTTATTTAATAAAATGACTTTACATAAAATTTTATTTATTAATTTTACACATTTAATTATTGATTAAATTAAATTTTACAAACTTTTCAAGTTTCAATTTGATACATAATTAATCAAGATGTAATTTCAATAAATTGTTTATGATCTCATATGTTTCGCAGAATTTTGTTAGTTTGTTTTTTTATACTGTAACTGATATTTCTTAATTTGTCACTAAAGTATGTAAGCTGAACCTTTCAATGTGATCTTCGCTCGTGAAAAGAACACATATTAATTGCTATTGAAATCTGCCACTCAAGCGATCAGTGATAAATCTTAATGCGCAATTATGCAGTCTTATTATTCTTACATCAACGCTCGACAAGATCGTCTACTGTCTTCGCGAACAGCATAAATCAGACCGCTTTAGGGACAGCGACTTGTCGAAGTACACACACGCGCACGCACACACACGCACACGCACACACACGCGCACGCACACACACGCACACGCACACACACGCACACACACACACACACACACACACACACACACGGCGCTCACCTTATTTAAATTGCCAAAACCAAGCCGTTGAATAGCTTGAGCCTTCCAATCCGGAAGTGGCGGATTGAAGGTGACTCCGGAAGGCGGTGCGGAAGTCTTAAGGACTCCAAGAGGTAGTGTAACCAGAACGGCGTCCGCTTTATAAATGGTGTGATTTGTGTGCAAACTACGGGCGGGTGAGGCCCATACTTCTACACCATTTGGCCCGTATCGCACTGCCCTGGCAGCTATGTTCAATCGAATATCAAGTCCTTCCGAGAGAGCAACAGGTACACAAGAATAACCGTTGCGAACTGTAAGGTAAAAGGGGTAAAAAAAATGAATCAGTATTCAGATTTATTGTAATATCGTATCATATTGAGAAAGATAGAAAGAGAAACTTTTATATGATGTATATATATTATATATAT